GGATTAAATCTCTTGACTGAAAGAACAAATACCTGATAGAAGGGGAGAGGGCATGAATTGTAACTGCATGGTGGTCTCAGGACTTTTTCCATTTCTCTTGTATAGAAAGGAGGAAGAGGACTGAACTTCTCAGAAGTTGGTCCATGTAGACAGCAACAGGAACTCTCATTTATTCCTTCATTAAATATTTATTGAGCACCTACTATGAAACAGGCAATGTAATGCAATAATAAACAAGGCAGATAAAGCTGTTGCCTTCAGAGTCTAGAAAGATCCATATAGCTCTACACAAGCGTACTAGGGAGGATTTTTCTCAATGTTGGTGTGATCAAAAAAATATGACTGGAATCTAGTTAGTAATTATCTCCTTGTTTTTTGTTTTTGAATGTAAATCTTTCTGACTCATTATTCCCTTTGTTTTATGTAAAAGAGAAATTATATACTTAAATTATCACACATTTGCAGGGATCCAGTTCTAAAGAATACATTTTGCAAAATGACACTTCTCAGCATAACACAAGGGTTTACTTATGCTTTGCATAAGGATTGCTAAGGGGAAACTAATTAATATGCTAAATGCTTACTCCTATTAATAGACTCTGGCCCAAGTTTGGTTTTCAGTTAACATGCACATAGAACTCTGACATGTATTTGTCCTCTCTTTCCCACTTTTAATATGTCTTCTAGCATACTTTTAACTTTTTTGTGTGCTTACATTTTAATATATTGACCCATAAAGGGTACTAAATTCAGGCTTTTGTATATGTTTTTTCAGTCTGATCTTAGGGAGAGAAGTAAAAATGATTTCAAGTAGCATTTCTAAGTGATGAAAATCTGCAGGCACAGAAATGTCTCTTAAGTTATCTGCTTATCTTGGCTAACATGATGTTTTATACTATCAAAAATGTGCACCTATTGGTTTCTGACTCCTCTATCCGCATTAGCATTGACTTTTGAGAGTGAATGGCAAATGCTACAGAAAATTCAACATCTTTCTTGCACTCAGGCAGTAGCAAACATATCTTTATTAGGAGTTGGGCAAAAGAGCTCTATATTTCTCCAAGCCTTCCCCTTTAAATTATTTCTGGTACAGGTTGGATTCGAGATCTTGCTAAGGGCTACTTATGATTTATTTCGACCTTTAGCTGGTTCTAGGAGAAAAAAATGAACAAAGATGAAAGTAAAGAAGAGGAGAAGCTCAATCCTTTGTGAAATTTCAGTGGTGTGTAACACCCTGACTCTTATGATGGGCGCATTGTTTAAATTTTTATTTTTTCCTCAAAAATAAAATTAAACTCATTTATCATTTTTAATTAGAGAATAAGTGCCATCATTTTTTAAAGAGAACACATTTCAAGCTGTGAGTCTCTTAATGTAGACTGGTCCTCTGAGACTTTTCTGAAGCACAGTGGGGAAATTTTAAATCCAGTCAAATATTTTTCTTAGGAAAAGTGGTGATAGGTCATGGTGAGATATGGGTGTCATTAAAATTTTATAGAGGTCCCTAACACACTGGAGTCACCATAACATTGACACATTGACTATAATATTGCCAAAGAAGCATTTGTTGTCCATCTTGGCTTTAAAGGGAGTTGTTACAGTTTATAGATGAAATAATCTGCATGTTAAAAAGTTCCTAAATATGTATTTACAAGATAGTCAGATCTGTTTTGGTCTATTGGGTTAATAATCCATGCGTTAAAAATCCCCAAATATGTATTCACAAGATATACAGATCAGCTTTGCTTCACTGAGTCAATGGTAAGCAGATCTTTAAAAAGGCACCTAAATGGTTACTTAGTTTGCATTTTTAGTAATTTCAGAAATGCAGTCTCCATACTGTAAATTCTACCTTTAAAAGTGTAGATTTATTATTCTTGTTCCAGTGGATGCCAGAGGCTGTGTTTCACTCTGATCTATGTTATTTTGCTTTTAAAAAGTCAGAAGAAAATTGCCATAGCACAAACTATATTAAAGCCATGAGGAAAGTAATAGAAACACAGATACTTAGGCACAGCCCTCACAGCTGGGGTGGATGCTGTCTTTCCAGACTCACCCATTGGCCATCACCATCCAGGGCCAATTCCCAACCCCCTCAGCTGACTGTTCTGCTGTAGTTTTGGTTCCAGGGGGATCCTGTTAGAGAATCAGAGCTTGGCCTTTCTCTCCGCTCCAGCAACTTCCCACCTCATAGTCAAAACCACAGGCTCCCCCACACGTAGTTTTCTCACTCTGGCTTCACCTTCTCCCATACTCTCACTGATCTTTTTGCTGTTCCTGGAACACACCAGCAGGCTACTGGTCCTGTGTACTTGCCTTTCCTTCTTTCAAAAAACTTCTTCCACATGTCTGGATCCCTTTCTTTAGTTCTCTTATGAGAGAAGACCTCTTTGATCACCTCACATAAAACAGCAGCATCCTTTCCAACACCTTTCTTACTGTTCTCTGAGAGCACTTATCACCATTGAATAGAATATGTCTTTACTTGTTTGTTTATTGCTGACCTCCCCCCCTAGAAGTTAAACTCCACTAAGGCAAAAGCTTCATAATCCCATGCTTAGATAAATGCCTGGTACCTTTTAAGTACTCATCAAATACTTATGGTACAAATAAATGAAAGCAGATGAAAAAGGAGTCTTCTCTCTACTTCCTTGATTGTCTGATTGATGTGTGTTTATGTTTAAGTTGAGAAGGCGCGGGTATCTCTTTCTGAGCTGAAGCCCTCTCTGTGGCCTTTAGACCTCGGTTTCCTATAATATACTCTAAGAGGCACAAAACCGGTCCTTCCTGAAGGTGCTTGTTCATCTCATCCCCAGAGCTACAGGTTTATGATGAAACTCCCAAGAAGCTGGAGTGATCTCCACTATACCAGATCAGTCTGCTTCTAGGTGCCATAGTAAAAGTGCAAAAGCATAAAGACATAAAGACGGGATTAGCATTTATAAATCTCTTCACTGAATGTAGTGTCCACCCTAGATAGATTCAACGACTTAGATTTTACAGTCTAATCAGATGCAGCCATGAGGGATGGAGTGCCACTTTATGTGTGTGTCACGTAACTGTAACAAAACGAGGATGTCTGGGACAACCATTATTCTCTCTTAAACTTAGTGTATGTTCCTTGAGGCATTTCCCCATGCCTCCACCTTTAACCATTCATGTTGTTCTCTAAATGCATCTCTTCTCATGATTGAAGACTGTCATAGCAACTCCTTCTTATTTAAATTTCACAAGAACATTATTTCAATCACTCAGAAAGGGGCCTTCGGCAACAGAATCAGAGCTGACAGTAAATTAATGACTATGATGCCATGATTAGTTGAGATTACAGGCTACAGAGAACCTGTCTGAGCATTTGCCCTTGTCATCCTCCTGATGCTATCTTCTACTAGGGCTTGATATTGGTCAAAAAAGAGGATGTGGTTCAGCTACAGTAAACCTCATAGAAACATAAGGAAATCTGCATGTATTGTAATATTTCAATGACATACTGATTAATTAAGTGGATTTTTACTGTTAACCTGCTTAGCTTATGTTAGTCTTTCTCCGCAGCACACAGACTTGTTTTCATAGAGCTTTAAGGCACTAAGTGAAAAGTTGAAGTGATCTAGATAATTCTGCCCCCAAATCTAAAGTATTCATTAACTGAAAGAAAAACATGGTTTAATTTCAAGTTATTTGGATAAGTGACTCAATTTCATAATTTATTTTGCATGAGTAGACAAAACTTAAAGGCTAAGGCAGTGCATACCAGTACCTGAGTGGATTTATAAAATAAAACTTTTCTTTTTTTATTGTACACTTTAAATTTATTCAGTTTATTGTATATCAATTATACCTCAATAAAACCATTTTTAAAAAAGCCCACTGGAGCATTTTTAATTAAAGTAGAAGCGTGATCAGGTTAAATAAAACTTTTCAATCAACTTAATGGAGATGAGGAGATAAAAAATTAACACGAACAACAATAACAATGACAAAATCATTGATTTAGTTACTGGGTGTCACTTCATATCTTTCCAAATTCTGGCTTCAAATAAATAATGATTTCTGTAATGACTTTTATGGGAGGAAGATTTCAAATAAATGTCTGTTTGCTTTAGATGAGCTTCACTGAATTGCCCTTATTTGATTTTAGATTCTCCTAAGGGAAGAGATTTCAGGATTTCCTGGTGGTAAAGTAAAAAAGGACACTTTGCTGAACTTGTATGACATCATCTGAAGCATTAAAAGGGCAGATTATCAGAGGTTCTCTGCCTATTTACCAAAGCTTCTTTTCTTCCTCAATTTATCTTATTTCCAAATGTCAGAGTAGCCTGAAATCCTTCAAAGATTTATAGACTGCAGAAGCAGAGGAAATATTAGGATAAATTCTTTAACTTTTATGAAAGCTTTAAAAATAATTAATAGATGGACTTTAAAAATTATTATATATCACAGTACAGATACTCTATGCTTTGTAAAGGCTATACACAGTTTAACAACAAAGGGCATGAGGTCATCTCTATTTCTAGAAAGTCCATGAAACTGTTCCTTAGAGTATATACCTGAGTCATAAAGATAATATTGCATTTGTGAATAATGTAACTAATATAACAAAATTTAGTTTATCAATTAAAATTGAAATACTATACAATGAAAGAAAATAGTAAATGAAATCTTTGTTTTAAACATAATTTCTTTTCCAAGTTCTACTTAGAAATCTACTTATATTACAGAAAAAGAAAAAGTATAACAGCTAATATTATTTTATAAATTATTTCTTAATAAAGGCAATGAAAACGTGAGCAAATTACTTTTAAGCTTATGCCATAAACATATTTTCCAACATACCTGAAATACTGGAGCCACATAGCTAAAGTAAATAATATTTAAAAGATCTTACTCTAGATATAATAGGCACTATATTTCTCATAGTAATACATTAAATTCTTTGTTATGCAAAACCCTTCAACCATAACTTCATGAAGAAATGTGAAGTGGTGTGAAAATGATCTTACCTCATATTCAAAGTCCTCTGTTCTGTCTGCATCAGCAGGCAAGCTGGAAATATACTCATTGTCCTCATAAAATTCATGCTCCATCGGATGAAGAGAATGGCAGCTATGGGGAATGTAACAACATGATAGGAATGGATCAAAAGGGTTGCTTTCGAGATTAAAACTGATTTTAGAATTTCACTTTAGTTTTCTCTGCTCTGGAGTAAGACCTGTAGTGATCTAGCCTTCAAGTGAACTACAGCTCAGAAAGAGCAATTGCTTTTCTTTCTCCCCCACACGAAGTCCATCAACCTGCAATTTCTGAGAGAATAGTGTGAATAAGGGCCCATGCTCAGAGTTTCATTCTGTGGAGAGACTGATGTGAAACCTTCGACAGTCCATCGTGCTTTATGGATACTTTCTGGTCTGCTTCCATTCCACCCAATGTGGCTAGCTCTGCACAGGAGTGTGGGGCATTTGAGATTGCAGTCTACTCTAAGAGGGATATTTTGTAACAAAGCACTACCAATTTCATCATCCACAGTCCCCAACTGGTGTTTGAAAGCCATTTTGAAAAGCACATATTTTTCAGACTCTAAAATCTATTCACATTGCCCCTATTTCTCAAGACCCTCCTTCCCTGTTTTTCCTTATAACCTACATTGTCCCCCTTTAATAAAGGCACATACACAGATATTAAAAAGCATTCACGGTGATAACTCACTGGAAACTAGAATAAGCCACGTAGTTGGGGAATCCTGAGAATTGCATATAGCTTTTATATATTCTTTAACTTTGGGGAAACATTTTAAATAACTTTTAAAAGTGTTCTTTTAATTACTTCATGTTATAATATACAAGGGGGGACTAAAAAAATCCCAAAATTTATTTACAAAAATTGTGTATTTATTCTTGCATGTTTAAACTCAGTCACCTTCAAAGTATTCTCCATTTGACACAATACACCTATTGAGATATTTTTTCACTGCTCAAAATAGTCTTTGAACTCATCAATTTTAATACCTTTGAGTGCTTCTGCTATTTTTGTTTCACCTCTTCCACATCTGCAGAACATTTCCCTTTGAGGACTTTTTTCATCCAGGAAACTAAAAAGGTCTTTCAGGGTAAGAACGGGTGAATAGAAAGGGTAGGGCATGGGAGTCATGCCATTTTTGGTTAAAAACTGCTGAACACTCAGCAAGTGGTGTGGGCAGGTGTGTTCCTCAATCCCCTGTTATGAAATGGGCAAATGTGTTGGAAGAATCTCCAAAATCATCATCATCATCATCATCATCATAAATTGAAGCCAAATGCAGCCTCTCACAACAACGCTAGCTGGTACACCGATGCTGATGGGCTCCTAGATCACTTGCCTAGTGAGGGAAGCCTCTTCTACAAGGGGCCCACCCTCCAAAAGATAATTCTGTTTTTGAGTGCCCCTTGTAAAGATTATACATGATACCATATGAAAGCCAAGCATAATTTAACAGCAAAGGCAAAAGACCGTTTCTATTTCTAAAATTCAGTGAAAATGCCCATGTGCAAATGCCAGGTTGGTTGCAGGTGAGACCTTGAAGCCTCACCAGTATGGATGTTATTGAAAAATTGGAGTTGGTAGTCTAGGCGCATTCCCTTCTCACTCATTGAAAGGCGAGAGAAAGCCATCCTGATGGCCTCCTACTGTAGTCAGCATAAATACTCTACCAGCCTTTTCTCACTATTATTTGTGGCTGTTAGCTGCACATAGAATTAACCCATGCAGGTCAAAATAGCAAAAGCAGTACAGGGCCTGGTGTTCTACCAGAGAAATCCTCCTTATTTATACCTGGATTGGCTCTGCAAAGCCCATTTGAGCAGGTAGAACATTGAAGCTTGTTGCTTTGGACAACTGATGTATTTCTCTTGACTTTTAGTTAGTAAAAAGGGAGTCTGCCATGAGGAATACCTTATTCATTCAACAAACATGTATTGAGTGCCTACTCGACACCAGGCCCTATGCCAATTGCTGGGAATATGTTTGGTGTACAAAATCCAATTCTGTAAAATAGGCAAAGTGTGATAATTAAGGGGAAAATATGGAAGCTGCTGGAGCACATGATGGGGATGGACCCACCGCAGCCCTAGGAAGTTTGCTAGAAGAGGTTGTCTCTAAGCTAAGATCTGCAGGATTTAGGAAAAGCAGCACTGCATACCGCTTAAGGGAATTGGCACTGGGTTTAGGTCACTTTCTTGCTATGAGACGTTCACCAGGTGATTTAATATTTATTTCCTCATCTGTGACATTGGACTGGAGATTAATATAATACACTCCCTCACAAAGTAGTGAGGACTCAATGAGTCAATAAATGTGAAAAACTAGGAATAATACAAAACATGTGAAGTTGGCCAACAGAAGTTAGCTATTATTATTCATTCAAGAAAGTATCGATTGGATGGCTACTCTGGGTCAGGCTGTACTAATGTATCTATCTGTTTGCTTTATTATTGTCCAATTCCCCCTCTAAAATGTAAACTTCCAGGAGGCAGTTACTTTATCTTTGTTCATAGTTTTATAGCCAGCATCTTGTTCCAGTGCCTGGAACATCTAATGTGTGTCTGACACAAAGGACTATTGAGTAGGTAATGAATGAATGATTAGAATGATACACAAGACACACACAGAGCCCCTACCTCCTGGAATTTGAAGCCTCAAGGAGCAGTTTCCAAAAGCTGGCTGCATATTAGAATTGCCTGGGGAGATTTTTTAAAAATTCTAATACCTGAACCATACTCTAAAAATTCTCATTTAATTGGCCTGAGGTGGGATTCAGGCATTGATATTGCCTTCCAAAGTTCCCAGGTGATTCTAATGTATATCTATGCACTCTTAAAATAGGCTTATGGGTACCACTAAAGGGAAGGGAAGCAGTTTCAATCAGATCCATGTTCTACAAAGTAGAGAATAGATTGGAGAAGGCAGTGACAATGCAGCCTAAAGAAACTATTGCTCCTATAAACCAAGCTCTCAATAATGCTTGCATATTACATTAAAAGCTCACAGAACACAATAAATAGAGCAAAACATACTTCCCAAACTATACAGTAGGATTATTTGAATAAAATCTCCCTAATTGCCTACAAATTAGCTAAAAATCAGAAGGACATATTCCTGAATAGCTCCTTATTTCATAGCACTATACTTACTGTCTGACAGCCAGACCCCTCTGCTTACATCTCAATATATTTTGTAATTGCTTTCTTTGGAGAACTGCACTTTAATTAAATTAATTTTGCAACTTCTCCTTTCAGGAAGAGAAAAGCAAGGGAGAGAGCAGGGTGACCCACCAAGGAGAGTATAGTGCTAATGTGAGCACTATACTCATATGAGTCTTAATAAGGTTTTTGGCAGCTTTGGTGAGAAAAGTTATTTCCCTGGCCAGTGCTCACAAGTTGCATGAGGTTTTTGATGGCTAGAAATATGAAAACGAACAAATTAGAGCCAGCATTTTTCATGGCACCTCAGCAAGGACGATTAGGGAGGTGAAGCAACTATGCGGGTCAGTGCGGGTAGGTAGTAGAAACTGCTGAGGACTAATTGGATGCAGACACAGTGGAGACATTTTCCAAACTGAGCTGGGAGCCTGTCTCCATAATTGTCAACCTGCTAGGGTGACTGATTCTTTCCAACATCTACTTGACATGATGAATGGAAATAAACAAGGATTTAGGAGAATGACAGAAAAATACCTGTCTGAGAGCAGAAATGGACAGATGTCTGGCACCGGAGGGGTAGGCGGTCGAAGCTTGGCTAGGGCCATGATGTGTTCAAAGGTGATGTCCGTCTGAGTGCTGGCATTCATGAGCTGCACGTCTGGAGTCGGCCCATAGGCTGGTCTACTGAGAGGCGTTCGCCTTAACACCTGCACCACAATGGGCTCCTTGGCATTTCGAAAAGCTTCCACAGCCTCTTCATGGGTGGCCTTTGAGAGATCCTTCCCATTGACCTACGAAGATACAAGGACATCGCTTATCTCAGAGGAAAGAACAGACTGTCATGATAGATTAATGAAAGATGAGGAGGGAAGGTTTCAACCAGCTTTGATATGAATTTTGTAAAGGAATATTTCATCAGATATTGATTTTACTGAACTCTTTACTAACATAAAGAAGTGCAGGAGATTAGAAAAACAATTACTTGTGTATCTTTATAAAGTATCTGGAGTTGATTAATGATTAAAACACCAGAATTATTAGTAAGGATTTTACATTTTAACACATCAGCTTCAGTGTCGGTGACCAGCACTGACCAAGGGTGGGTTAGGACCCACACCAGAGAATCTGGACAGCGAGAAGAGACTACTCGGAGGCAGTTCTTCTGGGAACAGTCTGATCAGGACTGAAGCCAAATTTTATTCGGACTCCTTCCAACTTATATACCATTTTCTATACCCTCCAGCAGTGTGATAATCACTTACTGGGGGCGTACAAGTTCCGTGCTTTACAAACTATGCATCACAAGACCACCAGGAGATCTGCAATTTCCAAGCAAACAATTCTAACTCCATGATGTCTGTCATGCTTACATTAAGGTCACAGGTGCACAATTTCAATACAAATCGTTCAAAGTGTTTTCCATAATGTTCAATGAATCATTCATATTATACTCTTTGTTCTAAACCCTGATTAATACAAAAAACTTTTCTAAGTTAACTCTAGGTTCAATCCAAGTTCAATGACTCCTAATATTTTTAACAATTAATATTATCAACTTAACACTATACTATAATCTATAAGTTTACTTAAATGACTTAGCTGTTAGTTATACTATTATCCTATTACGATTTAACGTAATGCCTTATAACTCAGTTAAAACTTATTCTTAAACTACCAAACTTTACTATAATTCATATGAGTTTTATATGTCTAAACTTTAATTTTTATATAATCTAATGATTGACCTTTAATACTATGCTATATCCTATTAAGCTAATACCTCATCATTAATTCTTTCATAAATCGTATAGTAACTATTATATTTGAATAATATAGCAAAAGGAAACAAAACAGCAAGCATAGATTTACGCAACTATGAGTGTATATGTATATATTTTATCCTAACAAGTCTACTCTAAAAATCAAATAGTAGCTGTCACACTCTTGAACAAGGAAATGCAGGGCTGCCAAGATGGCGGCCATGGGCTGAAGCAGACCGAGTTTCGGTAATTAACGAAACAAAAGAAAACGTTCTGCCTGGCTAGGGGCAGGGCGACAAAACTATCATGGTAATTTAGTTTCTAATCTTAGCCCTCGGGGAAACAGCTTTCCAAAGCTGACTAACCAGTCTACCAGGAAATAGAAGTTAAAAAATATCTAGAAAGAAGTAAAACTTAGAAAGACAGAGAGAAATAATTCTGCTATGCACTTTCCATCAGGTGTATTGAGATTTACTTATAAGTTTTACTGCCATGTATGCACACTGGTCACTAATCACATGCCAATATTATAGGTATAACTGATATCCTATGTCAGAGGTGATCTTCCAGATGGGCCTTTACAGGCCTCAGCCATGTAGCTATAGATGTTGGCTCCCAACACTTCAGAAAATGTTTGCCAAACTCTTTAAACAGATAGTAATGTCAAGTATATCCTGTATTTTAAAAAAATAACCTAACATCTCTTGGTGAGATTTTCAATATTTGTAATTGCTTTCTTTGGAGAACTGCACTTTAATTAAATTAATTTTGTAACTTCTCCTTTCAGGAAGAGAAAAGTCTTACATGTCTGAAATTTAATTTTTTAGAATATTGTCATATTTTCTTCATGTTTGTCACCTCTTTATTCAAGACCATGTTATTGTTCATGTGCCCTTTATCCTAAAGCCTCACTTCAAAGTGTGGTTCACGGACCAGCAGTGGCATCAGCATCTCCTAAGAGATTATTAGAGATGCAAAATCCCTGGCCCTACCCTAGACCTACTGAATCAGAATTGGCATTTTAACAAGATCACAGCTTTATATTTACACACACTGAAAGAAACACTGCTCTAAAATACCTCTAAATGAGCACACTATTCCTCTTTGGAGCCTCACTGGTTTTAATTTATGACAGTTTATGACTCTCCAAGGTAGCCCTGGATATAACAAAGAAAGAGGTAAAGTTTGCCTCTGTCCTCAGTCATTGCTTCTCAGTGTGTGGGAGAGAAAAATTAGTCTTTTTGAGGGGGACTCTTCCATGCCTGCCTACTAAGGGCCAGCAATGTTCCCCAACCTCTGTGGCACCCAAACACCTGCATGCCTTCCTAACACCCACTTGGGGGGCAATACAGACTGTTCTCAAATAGTTGTCAATTTATTCCCTGAAAATAAGACCTGGTAACATAGCCTCTTAGTGGAAGTTGTGTTTAAATAAAGGACTCTACAATCCTGAAACAGCTTCATGACTTTCATCTCAAATAAATCAATAATGTTGGCTTTTGAAAACAGGCAGAGCTATTTGGTATCATGATACTGTGCCCAAGACCCCTGAAATTATACCATTTCTAGAAAACTAATGAAGTCACCCGCCTGTTGGTGAGGCACTGACAACTGTTATGCACCAGCAAATTCTTAGAGATCCCTGGGTGCCTAAAAAAGAAGCAAAGGAAGTCACTGAGTTGCAGTTGTAGAACGATCGCTGACATTCAAATGAGCACATTGTCTCTCCCTGAGTAGACAAGGAATATGTGTGTGCTCAGAGCAAGTGTGGGGTGTTTTGGGGTAAATGATACAATGCCAGGTAGAAATCATCATGTCATGTAGAGACAGGCTTAATGACCTGGAGGAGCTAATTTACTCAATGGACCCCGAAAGAGTTAATGTGCCTTCAAAAAATGAGCAATTAAGTTTCTTCTCTGGCAAAATATGTCCCAGTACACTTCTTGAATCACTAGGAAGAAACCCCAGTTGGAGAATTGATTGGGTGTTATCAGTATGCACACAATCACTAATCTAGGTATTCACTCTCTGATTCTTTTCTCCATGGACTAAATTTGGAATGTGATCACTGATTTTCATTGACAAACATTTCATTGGAATGTTTGACTTAGGGCATACGGGCATATGTGGACATGGGACATCAATTGGACATAGTTGTTTATTCCTTGAGCTCCTGCCGGATGACAGGTGATTGAGCCAGGGCCACAATAGTGTCTCCCAAGGACGTATAGTCAGCAGGCAACAAAAGAAATCTCAGAATGAAAAAGCACAACCTCAAATCTAGCTCCTATTGAATGGTATTATCCCACGTGTTTCATATTGTGGATAGTATTTACAAATTCCATATTATGGAAGATGACCAAGTGGTAGGGAAGACTGTTTGTGAGAATCTATGCTATACAATTGTCCTTTTCTTTCAGCCTTCCTGCTTTATGGTATTCCTTCAGTTTAGTGAAAATTCAGTCTTGCAAGGTCCCATATCTTTCCCTCTATGAAAAGAATTTTCAGTAATAATCTATTATCAACTATTTAACATCTATTGGAACTATGTCAATATGCTATTTTCCTACAAGCCTTGCATCAAGAGTAACCCCTCATAGAGGCAGAATGAAATAAAATAATGCCTTTTCTGAAATAACTTTAAGCAATATCTGAGGTTTCTTCCAGTCACACGCTAAATCCTACTAATCCATAAAATGTAGATGGACAAACATCATTAATTTATTTTTTTCCCAAAGGGGCTGGGTATCTTGCTTAACATGCTAAGCTAGCCTTGGTGTTCAGTATGTTTATTTGTTTTTGTGATCTTTGAAGCAAGAATAATTTTTAAGAAGTGAGTTTCCTACCGATAATGATTATTTATTTTGTGTATAAGGCGAGATTATTTTTGCCATATCCAGAATAGTATAAAAATCTTTGCAGAAGCATAAAACTTATCAAAAAGTAATTTAGGCTGTGAAATAAGTAGTTCTTATTGTAATGTTTAGTATGTGCCGAAAATATTAGCATACATACAGCATGATCAATAGCTATTGATTCCATGACCTGTACATTCATTCATTTACAATTATGATATTTACATGCAAATTTCATCCTTTGCTCTAAGGACAATCAAATACAATCTTTAAAAAAATAGTCAATGTAATCTGAAAGATCTTACTTCCCTATTGGCGAATGCTCTTTTCCTTCAGTTATCTTGCAGCTGACCTCTATTTTCATAAGCTATTTAATATCTCTCAAAGTAAAGAAGTCTATGACCTTTAAAGGCTCTACTGCCCCACATGATCCCTTAGAAAATGTAAGCAGTGATGATACTAAACATTTTTTTTTCTTCACTTGAAGTTCATCAACATACTGTTAGCTTACCAAAAGGTCACCATTCTATAAATTATGCCTTTCATAAGAAAAAAAAGAATAGTTTAATTGGGATTTTATGGCAGTTGCTTTGCTTAGTTATCATCAGTTACAGCAAGAGAGAATAACATTGGAAGGATATTTGAAGTTAGTCCTATTGGAAAATTTCATAAGTAACAAATTAACAAATAACAGAAAAACTTCATTTTTTTCAGTGGCTACTTCCTAAACCAATAACAGGTATTTGGTATTTCATGTTGCCATTGTCTTATTCTTCTACTTCTTTACCACTATATTCTATCCCTTTCTGCCTTCCTTTCTTCTTCCCTCTTATTCTGTCTTTGCCTCAATTTTAAATTTAGTTTTGTACATATAAAATATAATTTTCATTTGTTTTGTGAGATGAAACAAGACGGAAAAGCCCTCTATTCAAGCTATCACACTCAAAATAGGTGGGGTGATTCATGCCTGTAACTTCAGCACTTTAGGAAGCCAAGGTGAGCAGATTACTTGAACCCAAGAGTTCATGACCAGCTTAGGCAACGTAGTGAGACCTTGTAGCTACAAAATAAAAAAAAAATAGCTGAACATGGCAGTATGTGTCTGTAGTTCCAGCTATATAAAAGGCTGAGAAGGAAGAATCGTCTAAACCCAGGAATTTGAGACTGTGGTAAGGC